AGTTAATGTACAGAAGGCTCATAGATGTTCTTGTATGCGAAAATACCTACTGGTTGTTTAACTAAACTGATTTAATTATAACTGATTTCTATGTAAATCGATCCAAAAAGAATTTATTTAATGTGTTGCTTCCGAGGGACAACTCCCTGTAAAAACCTCAAAACGATTTTTGCTGAAACTTTCATGAAGGTGTTAAATTTAACTCATCATAATCAGGCAGATTTAAAGCTCACTGTTCACAGGCAGACGACATTACGCCAAAATTCCCAAAAGCCGTAACTAAAAATCAACTCGGTCGGTGTTGCAATTTGCAAAATGAATTCCAATGTTGCCATGGTACAGCATTAAGCTGAGTGACGACCTATTCACGCAAATGCGATGTATTACTTAACTTCACAATATGAGTTTGTTAAATTAAGATAAAATGTTTTACGTGATACTTATTTTTTTTTCTCGAATCGTAACAGATTTTTGTTGCGTTTGTAGAAAATCCTAAAAGAACTCTTAAAACTGAATAGTATACCTATAAGACCTTCACAGTCAGGATCAAACTGTAGGAAAAATTAAAATTCTTATAGTCTCTAAGTACATATTAAAACTATCGTGAGACATACTAAGCGTAGAAAGAGCCATCAGACCACCACAGATGGGGCCAACAGGGCCGATGCCGATTCGGAGTCGCGGAGAACCTAACGGGTTACCGGGGCTCCGGCTCGACGTGCAGGAGAAGGAACGGGGTGGTTTTTAGTCAGTAAGAGTCTGGCACTCCCTCCCGCCTCACCCAGGCGGGAGCAGCGATTCGATGATATCCCCCCTTAAAAAAAATCGTGAGACAACCTAAATTAATTATTATGTTTTTGGCTTACTCACGTAACTGTTTCACGAGGAACTAGTTCTAAGTTCGTTCATAACAGTCTTTGTGAGACTGCAATATTTGACTGCACGGTGTTGTGCCGATGCTGCGTGTCATATGTATAATACCTATGTTACTAAACGCACCCACGACATAGGAGAAATTAGGAAAGTGAAGCAAAGTACGAAAAAAATGTCTTCTAAGACAATCTTTTATGTCCCTGTTGGTAGTCAAAAGCAAAGAAGTTTTAGGATGGGATTTTATATAGGTATTACAACAGACACTATCATTGTCATTCGGTACACAGCATTCATTTGGTTAACGCTAACCACCACTGTATCATCTCAAAGGATTAGTAATCCAGGTTATTAAATAAAACCCCAAAACTCACACATTTTTCACGAGGGTAAGTAAAAAGCACAAAATGCTATCTAGAACAATCCTTACAGATACCTATATGTATATCTTTAAGTTAATAAATATACAAAAATCGTTTCCCTAGTTTACAACAATACGTAATACGGATACTTAACAATGTACCTATTTAACTATAGCGTATCAACATCAGATAAAACATAAAGCTACATGAGAGGGAGGTTGTACCCTCATTATGAACGAAGATTGAAATGTAGGGCTGCCACTACAGTGCGATTGTTGTTTGAAAATTTTGTAGCGATTTTTGTTTTGGTATTATTATTTTATGCCGCGACTTCTTTCGCGTGGAAGTGTGATGATTCACAGCTCCTCCCCCTTAGGTGATAGCGTGATAATATATGTAGCTAGTAGTGTAATAGTATGAATGTTGACCGGACCCATTCAGTACTTTTTGAGTTTAGCCCGGACATACATATATACAGACGAACAGACAAAAATATTAAACACTACTATTTAGCTTAGGTATCGATAAAAAATCACGCCCTAAGTATTCTTTAAAAATGATTCAATGTACAGGTTTTGACTTTATTGTAATTTTATAATAATGTTCTAGGTATAAAATATTAGGACTATATTTGTTGGTTCATGCTAAATTGATGGTTCATAAGACGTGTAAAAAGAAAAGCGATAGGCCCAGCTACCCAGGAGTTATGAAATAAAATCACTTTCAACACTTTTTTGCATCGTCTTTGACACTGTTACAAAAAAGAAGTGTCCAGTTTCATGCTAATTTATAAAAGCCTATGAATATTAATAGTGTTACGTGAAAGTTAACACCAAATAGCCACATCAATCTAACAATTTTATGGAGCCAACTGTCATACATTGACACATAAACTGGTCATAACTAGTATGTAATTAAAACTGATATTACTGTACTTCCGTTCCCCAGATATCATGAGCATAACAATAAATTTATCTATTAATCCCAAAACATTAACTATAAAACACAAAGCGTGATCCGACAACCCTAACAAAGGGTTATAAATACAGGTATTTAAATTCGGCCATTCATTTCAACGCTCATCCCGTACAAAGCGCTTCATTATTCAATACGTGAATAAATCACTTTCATTGAAAGAATAAACGAATGATCACACTATTTATCGATGAAAAATACGGTAGCGTTTAGAGGGTTTCAACGAATGAATGTTTTCTATGACGACATTTGAAACTTTTTAAATAATTGTAAAAAAGAAAAAAAACGTATTCGCCACATAAGGTACAATTTACTTAACGTCATCAATTTAAATCACCGGAGGTAAAATGAGAGCTGAACATGTAGATACCATGATATCTTTTCTTTACTCATCAGATATATTTAGTGTCCCAACTTCCCATCCAACATAGTATATCATGCACCATGCACCGGACATCATCACAATCATAATCACCATTCAATTATTGAGCAGTTTTCTAAAACCCCCAGTCATATTTTCCGACTCTGGCAGCAAACCAATTTTTTTTTTTTTTTCTTCTTTGGCAAACGAGTCTACAAAATGATCTTGTCGACTATACTGCCAGTGTCCAGTGGTGACGGTAGTTTAATGAACCGTCGAAATCGACTTTGTGGTAGTTTTTAGTTGTTAGTAGCTAAAAGGACAAAACACTTGAAACCCATTTCCTCGATACTTGAGACAATACCAAACAGATACTGACAACATTTACCCGCTCGGTTGCCAAAGAAGAAAAAAAAAAAAACATTTACCCACCAACAACAAATAAAAAACAAAAGAACCAGAAAACAAAAAACTATATTGCAAACTACACCTTGAGTGCAGTTCAATTGATTTAGATGCTCTTAGAAAATATGCCAAGAAATATACTCGAAAGACACTTCATTTTCTTCGCTACAAAACTCAATTGTTTAGAAAGGAGGCTGCGATGCGATGGCGATAGTCTGTGGCACAATAGAGCCCGCTATGAATGCATTCTAATGAAATAAAGAAACGTTTTGTCCCGTACTGCATTGAGTCGAGACCTAAATACTGGTGAATGGGATCTATGCAAGCTATTCACTGCACTATCTGTTGATATCGCACATTTTTAACGTGTGAATAGTTTATACATTTATACCGAACTTAGTATTACAAGGTTTAAATAATGACTGGAGTGATACCATGGCCACACAGAAAACTGACGTGAAACAAAGTTCCCCTAAAGGAGGCCATACACTCTAGGTTATGCATCATATAACTTTGCATGCAAAACCGACAAGCATAACCGAGCACCGATGCACCGATAACTGTACAGTTTAATCACATACACAATAGGACTTGCCTGTCGGTTATGCATGCACGGCTAAAACCATCATGCAAAACCTAGCGTGTATGGCCTCCTTTAGGTATGTTTCGTTACGTCAGTAAGGCATCATCACGACATAAAGTTATAAGAATCCTCAAAAGGTCAATTATGTACTGAGCTATAAGTGCATAACTGAGCTGACCTTTTGGGGACTAGGGCTATAGGTGTCCCTGGGTGTCGATGATTACACAGCTTGCATAAGGTTAATTGATTCATCACATCATTATCATTATCAACAGCCGAAAGACGTCCACTGCTGGAGAAAGGCCTCCTCCTTAGTCCTCCACATCGAACGATTACTGAGCACTTGCATCCACTGGCTCCCCGAAACTCAGATAATGTGTGCCCACGTTTCATCTTCCGGTCCGTAATCAACCACTGTGAACTTTCCTGGCTCATCTGGCCGCAGTCTGTAGAGCGACGTGGCCTCCGTCCGTTAAGTGAGGTGAACTGATTATCAATTTGTTATTGTCCCAAAATTTCGTCTAACCAGTATACTTTCAAACCCATCTACGCCACTTTAAACTGTCAAACACCAAGCGGTCACCGGTGACCGCAACCTATTGTTCTATAATTGTGTCTATAGAGGTAATGACGGTACTCGACGAGTTAAAGTAGGGCGAAAACTTCAAATACAATCTTACTTACGGAAAACATTATTTTTGTTACGAAACCAATATAAACTTCACTTTTAAACTTCGTCTCGGTTCATCAATTTAGAGATGTAGATATTTGAAAAATGAAATTTCAATTCGTTGCGTCGACGTTGAAGTGACTTCTTATTATTGAATAAATGAAGGAGGCGCTAACTCTGTGGTCGGAACCAGTTTGATGACATAAAATTGTATAGTAGGTATCTAACCGAAGTGTCGTTGGTCGGTTTCAAATGAATTGTCTCTATTGCACGGCACAAAGGACCTGAAGTTCGTTTCCTAGTTCAGAAAAAGTTATAATAGGTGGTTACTTAAGTAGGTATTGAAGTGGGTACCTAACTAAGGATTACGCTATTTTCGATTTTCAAAAAAAAAATTATTACTCCTACTTACACGTTTCCGATATTTGGGATTCACAATCACAACATAAGATGTAGGAAGTTATTACATTTCATGAAAAATACTGCTACCCACTACTTTGCGGGAAAACAGGCGTGATGGACCATGATGGTTCTGCTCACCCATTTTTACAATGTAAAATTGCGTTTCGTTATTGACTCCGCTACACAGTTTTGTTTCGTAAATTATCTCAGTTAATAGTACTAAAACCAGCTTTAACTTATTCACGCACGTAAAAAATATTTAAAATATCTAGTATTTATCCAATTATTTAAAATTTAACTGCATAGCATTAAATTCTCGATATCTCGCGCACAATAGAATAACGAAACGTACTCATGACGGTATAGGAAGGAACTAACGTCACTGTCATGTTAAATTGTCATGAATTGTTTTCGTATTTTATATTGTGAAATCGTGAAATTAATTGGAAACTATTGTACAATATTTTGAACTTGTTTCAAAACTGTGTTATTGATAAAAACATTGCCGTGTACGTGTGTAAATCTGACGTTCAAATCAACATTTTGTAGTGCAAGTGCGTCATAAAAGAATCGACAGTGATTTTTCTGTATTAGACGTAATTTTCCTTGTGAAGAATGGCTAATTCAGATTATGTTGCGACGTTGAAGATTCTAGTAATCGGGGAGAGTGGTGTGGGTAAATCAAGGTGAGAAAACTTCCTAAATGTAGTGAATTAAACCTTTGGTCAGTCCCACTTATAGTCTAAAAAAAGTATTGAGTCATGATGTCTGATTAAATTTTAATGAGAAATTCATAAGCCTACATTAGTTGTAATAAGTTGTTCGTATTTAAAAAAAATCATAAAAATAACAAAACAATTGAAAGTACAATCAACTTATCAGGCTTTGTACACTACATCCTTGACATGAAAAAAAAAATCAACAAGTATGTTAAAAAATAATTATCTGTGCTGTTCTATTGCGTAGTTTTGCAGATGTTAGCATTCATTGTTCATTGAATGTACTTAATGTGTAATCAGTTAGATTAGAATTACTTACCATGTTTTTTGTCTGAATGAAACGGAAAACATCATTGCAAATGTCATTGCTCTTCGAAAAGAACCAAAATAAGTACCCTGTTGATCTGATCTGATTGGTACACATTTGTGTAGTCAGCAAACAGTAGAGTAAACATAATATACCAACTGATGTATATTTATACATTTATTTGTGTAATAATAGTTACAAAGACCCATTTACAGTAACTAGGTATATTTTGGGCTTCCTTGTTTATGTTTGAACAAAAATAATTGTATTGTAGATTGTAGGTAATGTTCTACTTTATGTTATCTTAAATAAAAAGTTTTATTAATATGCTGCCCTTTGACCTCGCCAATCATTCTCTCTAATACACTATCACAAAATATATTTTTAGACAGGCATTTTACAAATAACCTTAATATTTAAACTACAGTAAGTAAGTACTGAGACGTTTTAGTTTCGAAACATGAAAGTTAAGTCTCAATGCCAGTATCGAAATAATTGACTAAATAGCGGGATTGGCAAAAATATAACATTTTTAATTCCTATTATTATCTGTTTAGTTTCATTATTTTGTTTGTGTTTAATCTATGTTAGTCATACATAGAAACTCAGAAAAGTTAATATTAGTAGAGGTTGAAGAATATCCAATTGCCTCTTGAGTTTACTAGTTGTAAAAGTGACAAATATAAATGATAGTTTTGATTCTGTTCCTGTATAAGGTCTCTCAATAATGAATTTATTTTTTCTTTGAATTTATTATACTTAAATGTATGAAACTATTCCATTTATTCTTAATCTATATATTATAGGTGTTTTACTCAATTTTATATCTTAAAAAAGTAAAGGTCTGTGTTAATAAAATTTATTTTTATTTTAGCATAATCCTAGCGTTCACAACGGGAGACTACAATGCTTCATTCCCGGCCACAATTGGAGTTGACTATAAATGTAAGGTGATGGATGTGAACGGAGTCAAGGTTAAGCTCGGTATATGGGACACTGCTGGACAGGAACGCTACCGGACATTGACCTCCAGTTTTTACAGGTAACGCAGAAATTCTCTTTATAAGCTAAAGATAGTCAAATTATTATTTTTTATACCGTGATGGTGGCAAGAAAACAAACAGTCCACCTGATGGTAAGTGGTTACCGCAGCCTATGAATGCTTGCAACACATGGCAACACATATGCTTTGCATTACATTTAATTCATGTTGTCTATATTGTGCAATTAATTAAAAAAATATTGTTTTTCTATATTTATTCTATACTGACAGTATTAGTTACTGAAAATGCCCTGTGTATATCCTGGCTTGATATAGTTTTAGCTTTTTAATCTAGTAGAACTGACAATGGTGCTTATATTCAATGTACTATGTGCTCAGTCTTGAGTCCATAACATAACATCACGCCTTTTACCCCCGAAGGGGTAGGCACTTAATGCCACTGTACAATGTAACACCCACTTTTCACTATTTATGTTACGAGTCCCATGTGATAGGAGGTGACCCTATTGCCATATACCAGGCACAATTCCAGACTCCGTGCTACAACTGAGATTAAAAAAAACCCAGTAATACTTACTTGAGTACCTGTAATAATAATTATGTGTATAATTTTACTAGCTAGTACTTGTTAGTTACAATAAAAAAGAATCTCTATAAATACATTTCTCCCTACAAAGATGTATTTTTGTTACAGAGACGCACATGGTGCTATTTTAGTTTACGATGTGTCTGAACCAAAATCCCTTGCAAAGTTGAATGAATGGGTTGAAGAACTGCAAGTATACTCCACAAAGAAGAACATAGTCTGCTTAGTAGTCGGAAACAAGATTGATAAAGTAAGTACTACAATAATAATTATTATTATGGTCCCATTATTGATTTTTGGTTGGTTGTAATGGATTTCTGGTTTAAGAATACGTCTTACAAATAGTAGTAGTCATCGATAGATTGAGCAACATCCTCTTTTTCGGTGACGTAACTTTAATCCCCAAGCTGCTCGCCAACCTTGGTGATTATCGCTACTTCCTGCACCTCATCCGTTAAGTCAGAGATCTTGTTTGCGACACAGCTTAGGACTGACAGCTGATGATAATGGCTTGATCACTTTATGTTCTCTTATTCTCATGATTCGATGGGGCTAAAGTGTCTATAAGTACCTTAGTATTACAAACATATACGAGATACACAAACATCTCAATGTTCCAACAATTTAATCAGAGATTGACAGATACAAAAAAGTGTGCAGAACGCCTAGTTCATCATCCCAATGACCTGGCAACTCAACTCTTATATCCTTCAGCCATGGAGAAAAGACTAAAAAGGAAGGATATCTTCTGAAAAGGCAGATGAGGCGCGGATGGCCTCGTCGTCTTCCACTGAACTCATCTTATAGTCTAGGTCTTAAGAGGCTGTACAACTGGGTAAACGCACGGAAATTTGTTCTATTCTAGATTCCACAAGGTCCGTATAATAAGCTACACCTAACGAAACAATTAAATTATTCAACATAGTGTTACGTTCATATTGCCAGAGATCACACTCCCAGAGTATGTGATGGGCGGACTGCTCGTATTGCAGCTCCGCTGTCGAACATTGGCACCATGGTGAATCAACAAGTTATACAGACTCTTTTTTGTGCCTTTAGGCTTAATTCATTCTGTCTCCTGCAGTAATTCACTGAGGGAAGTGGAAACTATCGTTTTTTTTTCTTCTCCTCTTATAATATCTTCTGATTCACTTCGTTGCGGGAACCAAGGCAGTTATTCATGTCCCTGGGACGCGCCGGACTTCAGTCTTCCGGTGTTTTCATGGTTGTATCTACTGTAGATCCTGGCTTACAGGAGTTGCAGCGGGCTTGTCCCTTAAAAAAAAAGTCTAGATCTTAACAAAAAAAAATCTTTCGTAATAATACTAGATTTTTGAAGGTAACCTTGGCGTGAGAGCAAAATATATCGAGGGGTAACGGACTATTTGGTTTAAGCGACATTTTGGGCGATTTTGAGTTATTACATATATTCGACGGAGAAAGATTCGCTGATTCCGAATATATATATAACTCAAAATCGCCCTTACACTTAATGAACACAGTTTCGCAGACAGTATATTATACTGTCTGCGAAACTGTGACGCGACAATTACCTATGTCACTTTGCTATGACTTTTGTAACTATGTTAAGTCTAATTTTACTAAGTACATATTGTGTGCCTCGACCTGTGAATATTAGATTCCAAACTCTGACGTGACGTTTTGTAATAAAGTCGAAAATCAACTGATTTTTTTTACTGAATTTATTCAATGACCTATGATCAAAGAACCTGTTTGAAGTCCAGGGTTATTCAATTTTTTCCTTATAAACTTATTATGTCAGTTATTTAAGTTATATTTTTCTTTAGCATAACCGTGCCGTACCACGGGAACAAGGACAGGCGTTTGCACAGAAACACAGAATGCTGTTCATCGAGAGCAGTGCTAAAACACAGGAGGGGATCAGCCTTGCTTTCGAAGAACTTGTGCAAAAGGTGAGTTAATAGTTATATAAAAAGATATTGTTCAAATTTTGGTTCAAAAATCATTGAGTTGACATTTACCTAGCTAGCAGGACCGTAGTGGGAACGTCTTGTTCTCTTTCCGATAGGTAGATATGTGTTTTAATGGCGATGACACTTTTTATGTCATGCGTTCTACAAACAATAGTTATCTCAAAAAATCCCGGGTCTCTCACGCGAAAATACTGAGAAAAGCTCTACTAGTTTCGAACCACAGAGGGGTTCTTCTCTTCCTGTTGGCTGCGCACGTTGTTCATGATTATTAGATGACTATTAGACTATTAGAGCTTTTCTCAGTATTTTCAGGTTAGTGACCCGCGAATTTAGTCTATTTAGTAAAAACACAATAGTTAGTATAAAAAATAGTTATCTCATTCTTGTAACTGAAAATAGCAAAATCTTCAACCAATCAACCTTCATGCAACTTCTTCCTAAAACTGAGAATGCAAAATTATAATATGCTCTCAAACCGAATAGAAATAAGCACCAATAGATAAAACAACCGAAGCCTGGTCAAAGCAATCTATTTAATTCGTACTGTTTCGTGTTAACCAGTACCTAATTGATTAATAATAATTAAACTTACCAATTATGTTCCAGTGATTATTTTAATCGATTAACAATTTTGCTCAGTAATTTTGTTCAATTCAAACATTCACATGGTGTTTGTAATTATTATTAAACAGATACAGTTTTAGTTAAAATTGAACTCTAACGCACAGAACGTAAAGTTACATTTACAAATAGTAGGAATTTTAAAGTTTTGCTGATTTTTTTACACACACAAACAAGTCTCAATGACTTGTTAAGATAATTTAATTTTATAAGATTAAAAATTAAATGAATTGTAATTTATAGAAAAATATACCATGGCAGGAGAAGGTTGTGTGGACATATTAGTATTAAATAGAATTCTTACTATATTTTCGCCTGTTAATTTGTCAATTCAGAATTTACTTGCACTCAATATTATATTATTACTAAGAATTTAAGGAGACTATATGTTTAAACCTTTAAATTAATTTAATTTCCGTCTCTAGATCATAGAGACTCCAGGACTTTGGGAGTCAGGAGGCTCTTCATCAAACATCCGCATATCACATGACGAGAGGAGACAACAGGAGGAATCTTCATGTTACGACTACACCTGCACGATTTAGAATAAGCTGGAAGTTGGCTGCGTCTGAAGACTTTCCTACTATTTGTATCTATTTGACTGAGTGATGCATCAAGAAGGCTTATTTCCTTGCATGCCGCAAGTACTAACGTTATTCGCCATGTCTTTTCGAATGCGTGACGTCACAGTTTGTAACTCCTTTTAAGTCCTTTTACGTACGAGCCGTATTGTAAGCGTATCATCACGTCTTAGGTCTATCGTATTGACAATATACCTTCTGCATCTTGTACATACGATTCGCTGCAACATCACTCCGAGAGCGAACTTATGCTTGTAAATTTTTACTGGCGTATTTCAATAAGTCAAAGTCAAAATCATTTATTTCAATTAGGCCAGAATGGCACTTTTAAACGTCAAAAAATATTATTAAAAGTGAAGCTATTTGCTCATTCCAAGGTGTAGATTCCTATGGAGAAGAACGAGCAACAAACTCCATAGGTTACTCTTTTTCAATCAAGTTCACAATACAATTTGCTAGTTACATAGTTTTGCTGTTTGGATTGTGCGAGAGCAATACGCTTATAATACGACGTCGTGTGCAAAGAGATTAAATCGAAGTAAAATAAATATCACCCTGTAAATGCACCACTATTGGGTCCCTTCTCACTTGGAGAAGATGAGCATGACTAAGTTTGTATGTATAATACCGCCGTGTAGTGAAACAAGTAATAGCACCATCTCTTTCTTGCACCAAAAGCTATGATGAGTGGTAAAATAATCGTGTGTTCATATTAAATGGTTGCCGCTAAACGATTTTGTGTCGATATTCTAGTAGGCAAAAGCTGGTTTCATTCGATATTTAAGATATATTACGATCATCCGAATATACGGCCATAATATTTGCCTTGGTTTCAATACTAATATTAACCTGCATAATGTATACAAAAGAATAAAATCACAACAACAAGATATCACTAACACTGGTAGCTATGTTCACCAATCGAATACCGGAATAATTTATGTGACTAGTAAATTGGTTAAAATATGAGGGTGGATTTAAAGCGAACTTGTCACTTTGTTTCAAATCTACCCTCAGATTTTAATAACGACGCTAAGATAAAAATATAAAAGGTCATAAGCACCACTAATATTGCTATGTAAATGTGTTTTGACATTGGAAGTCCACTTCAGTTCGTGAGTGTACATACGTAAAAGTATCAATTTGTTAGGAGATTAAAAACAACCAGTGTTTTACTGTAGAATATTTTCACTAAGCTAGCCTTGTAAAATGTATAGAAAATGTAAATTTATAGTTCGGAATAAATATTTTGTGATTAAATGTTACCGCTTAGACGAATTTTTGCTTAGTGTGGGGAGAATAGGGTAGTTTCCTAATTTTTATTTTAATGTCCGTCTGGTACATTAATTTTAAACTTTAACACGTATTTTTTCATTTCTCACAAAATTAAATACTTTCGACGATATATTAATTTGAAATATCGTGTGACGTCACAGCGTGTCACATTTTGTAGCGCGTTATGACGTAACAACCTCCCACTCTTAAACTTAGCGCCATTTTATCTAAGTATTGCAACTTAGTACGAAAAAATAAAAAAATACGTGTCTAATATTATTTCATTATCTAACTGACGGACTAATTAGATTTTTGATTTTGAAACCCTGGACACTATCCAATTGAAGTGATTGGTGATAGAATAGAAATTGTATCGATAATGAAGTAGAAATGTAGATCATCTGGACTCTAGACATAGGTACTAAAACATAACAGAAAATATCAAAATCCGATGTCTTTAAGTCTTGGACAAACTTTTTGGCAAGACCTCAAACTGTCGCGTCACTCACCTATTGTTATCATCATATTTACCATACGTTATCATAGTCACAATTACTGCTGCTTAGAGATCAATGTAAAGGACTTGTTTACATGTCATTGGTCAAAGAGTTTGTCAAGAACTTTTCTAAAACGACCTGGAGCGCAATGGGGCCAAAATGGAAATACACTGAATCTTGTTGTAATTGCTTTTTGCGTTAATTTTGTTAATAAAATAAATGCAATGTCATAAACACATACCTATAAAAAACGTTTAAATAAATTGTTTTACCGTTATTTTTATATTAATTTAGTTTCATAGTAAATTTTACACAAAATATGTGCATTGGATTTGTTGTTACATAGGGAATATAATTTGTGTTTAACATTTAAAGTACCCCCATTTTTGGGCAGCAAAAAGTACAATAAATGTAGTTTGTTTTTGAACCTCTTCTGACATGCACGTGTTTCTTGGCTGTAGGGCATAAAAATAGATTTAATTATATTTTATTTATAAAAAATTATTTGGTTTGATTGTTATGTGTTGGTTTTTTATAAGTGTTTCGTTTTAATCTTCAGATGTATGTCAACTAAGGCGATGTGATATCTCTTGTCTGCTTTTGTACATAGAATTAATAAAAGTGATTATTGTATGTTGTACACTATATTATTATGAATAAAATATTTCACAAAATTGGATAGTTTTATTCATTTTGATCACAACTATCCATCGGATATTTGCTAATCATAAGGGGAACAACGTACCTACGTTTCTGTAATAAAAATACACATATGTTTACATATACAATATGTTTGACGAGAAACTCGACTAGCTTCAAGCTATACTAGAGGCTCACGTTCATGAGTAGCATTCCGAGACACACGAGGCGACCAGGACAGTAACATCCTGACAGTCGTCGCGACATGAGTAACCTGAAAAACGTAACAATTAACTGTAAGTACTTTTCATTAAGCGAATTTTCGATTTTGGGTTTTCCCAAATTATAGCCTAAAACTTCTTCAGAGTCTTTTTGTCGGGTCAGTTAGCCGTTAGCCACTATGGAAGCGGAATAATATCTGTATAAAATCTATAAATATTGTGAAAAATAAAAGGTTAACGCTATTTGAGGTGATAGAAATACTAACACTTTTAGCATAGATTTTATAGAAATCCCTAAGATAGAACAACCCACATCCATCTCCATCATTACAACCTCCCTACGCCTTTTATTTCGAACAACGTTCAGACGTCCAGAAACGCCCACGAGCTCTTCAAAAAGGGAAACGCGAGAGTATAACAACCAATTTATTTCTACCCACGGTAGAAAACACCATGCGAGTCATTATCACCGAGCTTTTATGGGGCAATTTCTCACTAACTCTCCTCAAAATGCCCGCACTTTTTGCCTTTACCCCGCTTTCGTATTATTGACGACCATTGTCCAGTTAAACCTGGCTGTTACTCAACTCCAGTTAAGTATAAAACTGGTGTTTATGATCGAAACTGGCTATGTGAATGTAGATACTAACTTTATGAACCCTTTCTGCGGTTGGCACTTAGTTAGGTAGTAAAGCTGGCTTAACGATGAAGCTATCGAACGTAAATATTTACTTTTATTCGTGGAAAATAATGTAGTTTGTATTCTAGTTTTGATTTTATTGTTAGATAAAAATCACACCAATCTACTGTGTTTAATACTTTTTCTTGAAGGGGTAGATCATCCACTGACTTTTCCTGCCTTGGTTGTGGTGACAGTGTCAGACTCTTACTGACCGTTCCTACACACCTCTGCGGGAACCACCCCGTTCCTGCAGAGCTGGAGGCCCAGTATACTGTTTGGTTGTTCGCAGTTCCAGGTCCGGGGCTACAGCTATGCTGGACCCCATCTGTGTTTATTTAATACCTACCTCCCATATAAAAATAAGTGACTAACTAACTCCATAACTTATCTTTCAGTGTGTATTAGACATAGTTAAAGAAACAATAATAAAATCTACAAAACTGATAATGACTATTTTCAGCCGAAAAACGCCCGCAACAAACAAATACGTGGGTACTTTTTTTAAGACCTCAGGGAACAGTAGGTACTTTTTACCATATAGAGTTACCTACATACACAAACGTCTAGCGTTACTAAGTGACCTCACAGACAAAGCACACTCTAAACTAACTACCTAACACGCTAAACCTATATAAAGGACCAAGACTAGGTACATTGTCTACTACTAAAGGTACCTAGGTACATTCTAATCTCTTTACACAGCTACCTGATCTGTTCCCTAGAACTAACGTTATAATTATGTTCCCCAATCAAGTGCCTACTTTATTTAATTACTCACACTTAGATGTCTGCTTCTACTCTTTAAAACTTCTACATTACGATCGCAAAGTTTTGTGTCTAAGTCTTTCTGAGAACCTAACTCAATAGTAGGGAGCTAATGACTTAGGTAGGTATTATTTTATTCTAAGTTTAGGTGCTTAATTAAGTACCTACTACAGGTAAGTTAGTCTGGTGGCTGAGTTTTAGTTACGATAACCTATGTAGTATAAGTACCTACGTATTATGGTAAATATATAATTGAAATAAAAATATTCAATTGATTCAAAATTACGGTAGGTACAATACCAATAATAACTACGAAATATCTAACTTTCGACGTCGAAAAATATGGTTAGGTTATTTAACTACCTACAGATGTTCTTATCCTAAAAGTCATAGAAAAAACGCTATGAAAAAGTTACATAGGTAGGTACAATACGTCATGCCACGTCACGGGATCACAAATATAAAAGGAACACTCATTTTTCACCAATTTTATTATGAGTTCCATGTAATGTGTGGTGTGAGAGAGCCATGTTTCGGCACGAATGGGCCGGCTCGACCGGAGTGATACTCCGGACTCATAGAAAATCGACGTGAAGCAACGCTTGCGTTGTGTTTCGTCGTGTGAGTGAGGTTACTGGAGGCCCAATTAAACCTCCCCTTCCCCAATCTCCCCAATCCCTGAATCCCCAACGATCCTCAAACACTAAATCCCCAAAAAGCCTGGAACGCACTAGTAACGCCTCTGGTGATCCAGGTGTCCATGGGCGACGCCGATTGCTTACCATTATGCAATAAAAAAAGTAATAATACTGGAGATAATGCCCAAGTATGTGCTGAAAATTTTCAAAAAGTTCTAATAAATCCTGAACCGAGAGTCAAACCGAAGAATAGCTCTTGCTCGACTAACAAGGTAGTTACATACTTAATTACCTACTATTATTAAGA